AATGCCAAGACCACAGCCATACAGCCCAGACAATCTAGAACAACTAATGAACTCTGGCCGTGAAAGCCTTTGATTTTCTTTTTTTTTAAAAATAGTTTATTTAGGTTTTCCAATACACAAAAAGATATACATCTTTTACATTTGTATTTCATACATCCTGTCGAGTCTATTCCACAAATTTGTCTTTTACCCATTTATAGAAATCTGCCCATCGTTCTTTAAACACCATATCATCTTTCCTTTGCAAAATTACTGTTAGTTTGTCCATTTCTGCGACCTCCATAAGTTTCTCTATTAGTTCCTTTCTTTTAACCCTGTTGGTGTAACTTGATGTAACTTGTTATGATCTAGTAATTCGTTCTATTAATTTATTTGTTCCATTGCCTTCCTTATTGTTCCGGTGTTCTGCCAATAAAGGTCTATGTATATGTACGTATGTATGCCAGTCTGAGTAGACAACACTGACCTTCTCCATTGCGAGAACTTTGGAATTCCCGCACTTTGACCAAGTACCAACTTGCCATTCAACCTCAAGTAGTTTCCCTTTTTGTTAGCTGACGTTAGCCTTGGCGTTACGCCATCTGTGACTAAACTCTGGTCTGTTATAATATCTGAGTCACTCTCCTGCTGCGTACCAACGTGACAATCTCGTGACCTAACAAGTGGCGTAATTTCCTTTTATGAATCATTCTGTGATTGTTCTTGATATTTGTACGGTGATTTTATTGTATGGCTCAAGACCTCCGGCTGAAGAAGCTTGTTGTTAATAAAGGAGAGAACAGAGCAATGTAATTTGTCAGGCTTTGTGGGATTCAGCATTTGATACACACACACACACACAAAAGGAAGAAGAGCGGGGTTTTATACCCTGTTTTTCTCTACCTCAAGGAGTCTCAAAGCAGCTACAATCACCTTTCCCCCCCTCTCCCCACAACAGGCACCTTTGTGAGGCAGGTGGGTCTGAGAGAGTCCTGAGAGAACTGTGACTGGCCCAAAGTCACCCAGCAGGCTTCATGTGGAGATGTGGGGAAGCAAAGAATGCATGCATGCACACACAAAAGCCTTCTCACCCTCTTCCCCCTCCCCCAAGGGGTCAAAACTACAAATTGTACCCGGTGGCCGTAATTCTTTTAAAAAATGAATTCAGCTGCAGGGATAATAACATAAGAACATAAGAAATGCCAATGTTGGATCAGGCCAAAGGCGCATCCAGTCCAACACTCTGTGCCACACAGTGGCCAGAAATACCAGTGCCATCAGGAGGTCCACCAGTGGGGACAGGACATTAGAAGCCCTCCCACTGTTGACCCATCCAAACACCAAGAAGACAGAGCATCACTTGCTCCAGAGCCCCTATCTATACCTTGTGGCTAATAGCCACTGATGGACCTCTGCTCCATATGCTTATCCAATTCCCTTTTGAAGCCGTCCATGCTTGTAGCCGCCACCACCTCCTGTGGCAGTGAATTCCATGTGTTCATCACTCTTTGGGTGAAGAAGTACTTCCTTTTATCCATTCTAACCCGACCGCTCAGCAATTTCATTGAGTGCCCAAGAAGGATCTCTAACCCTTCCCACTCCTGGATGATTTTCTAGGTCTAAACTGGTGCCTCCCCAACTCAGCTGCTCGTATTTATTCAGGGGAGTTGGCCGTGTTAGTCTGTTGCTGCAAAATAGTAAAAAGCCCAGTAGCACCTTTAAGACTAATAAACTTTATTGAAGCATAAGCTTTTGAGAAACACCGCATTCTTCGTCAGATGCATCTGGTGAAGAGAGCTGTGTTTCTCGAAAGCTTATGCCACAATAACGTCTGTTCATCTTAAAGGTGCTACTGGGCCTTTTACTATTTTGGTATTTATTCAAGAGAGAAACCACACTGGCCCTTTAATCACACCGGCGTTTTCCAACCCTGCCCACCTTGCTGGAAACAACAGCGAATCTCTAATGCACACAAGCCAAAAAAGAGCATGGGAGAAAAGGCTTCAATGCCCACAGCTACAATCTATTAGTAGCGTTGAATTTAATTATAATACGGTCAGGAGACCAGCCACAGATCTCTTGCCATACTTGTAGGGATTCAGGTTATATCTGCCTCCAGGGGTCATTTCCTGCAGAAGCACACAGGAGCAGAGCTCCGGCAGTAAAGAGCCCAGGGGGCGGGCACATGCAACAAGCCCCACCCCCTGCTCCCAGCAGCCCTCAGTCAGAGCACGAAGCAGCCAGGTAAGTTGCAGAGCTCCCCCCGGTCCAAAAGAGTCCAGTGGCACCTTTAAGACCAAGTTTTATTCAGGTACAAGCTCTCCCTCCTTTGCGAGATCTGCACATTCCCCCCCCATAGCTAGGAATCAGGCTTCCCAAGTACTTACTGTGATTCGGCGGGGGACAAAGACGTCTTTGCAGGATCATTCCCGCGGGGACAACAGAAACGCTGCACCACGCCGTCGCCAGGAAGTGACGCCGGGCGACGCTCTGGCAATGGGGCCAGAAACTTGATGGTACCGACGAGATTTTAGCCCCATTGCCAGAGCATCGCCCAGCGTCATTTCCTGGCAATGGCATGGTGTGTTACAGGGAGAAATGTTCCGGCCGGGGAGCATATGTCCCCCGCTGAATTGCGGTAAGTACTTGGCAACCCTACTAGGAATCCAAAACAGTCCACTGGAGCCTGAGCGGTGGGTGTTGCCTTCTGACACACTTCTGGTGATGTCAGGGGGTGTGACATATGCAAATAAGTTATGCAAATAAGTTATGCTAATGAGCCCATGCACCTCTTTTTCTACTAAATGATCCCTGCCTGCCTGCCTCTTGTTGTCTGCAGGTTAACATGGACTCTGAGTAAGGGAGGCCCAGAATGTGTGAGCAAGACCTTTGCTAGAGGGTTTGCTGGTTTAAAAAGAGCCCTGTGAGTACAAATTTTTCTGTTAGACACAAATAGCACTGATGCGTAACAGATGTCTTGGTGGAGGAGTGGGAGGCTTGAATCGGAACCAGATGTGCAGTAACTAAGCTCAATTGTAGAACAGAGAATTGTATTAGATTTCTATGGAGGGAGACTTGTAGACACCCCCCCTGGGATGGAAACCCCCCCTAGTTTTAACCAGGAAAGTACCTGAAGATTCACTTTGAATAGACACCATTTAGATTTGATGGGAGAGGATTTTTGTTCTGGAGTCTGAATGGTGGGGATCGTGCGAGCAGAAAGATTTCAAAACCCAAGGAAGGATTTTACAAACCACCCTTCACCCCCCACCGTTCCGTTTTAACGCAAGAGTCTGACTGAAGAGTTCAACATGTTATAAGCCTATATCTAATTCATATAGGAAGTATTCATATAAGGTTATTCATTACATACAAGGAAAAACACTACATACTTTACACTCTTAAATACATATATACCATATATACAGGGGTCATTTAGTAGAAAAAGAGGTGCAGGAGCTCATTAGCATAACTCATTAGCATAACTTATTTGCATATGCCACACACCCTGACATCAGAAGTGTGTCAGAAGGCAACACCCACCGCTCAGGCTCCACTGGACTGTTTTGGATTGCTAGCTACTGGGGGACGTGCAGATCCGTCCTCGCAGAGGAGGGAGAGCTTGTACCTGAATAAAACTCTTAAAGGTGCCATTGGACTGTCTTGGACCAGGGGGAGCTCTGCAGCTTACCTGGCTGCTTCTTGCTCTGACTGAGGGCTGCTTCTTTTAACACAACTGCTTCATTTTATATCGGATTCTCATTGCTGGCCAACACAACAGCTACAATGGCGATGGTGATTAGCATCCACCGCCATTTAACTGCTACTAAGTCTTTTTTTTTTTAAAGTCTGTTTTTATTTAATTCATTACACCCAGATCTAAAATGGCTAACATCATTCTCCTCTCAGCCATTTTTTCCCTCACAACAACCCCATGAGGTAGATTAGGCTGAGAGTGAATGACTGGCTCAAGGCCATCCAGCAAGCTTCCATGGCAGAGTGGGGATTGAAACCTGGGTCTCCTAGATCCAGTCCAACACTCTACCCCAGGGGTGTCACACATAAGGCCTGCGGGCTGGAACCAGCCCATCCAGGGCTCTTATTTGGCCTGCGAGCACCTGGTTATTACCTTTATTGTCAGATAGCAGAGCCTGTGCATTATGTCCCTGTATACTGTCCCAGAGCTAATGAGGAATGGGTGGTGGAAATGGGAGATACTGTGTTAATGGTTTAAGCAGGTTTGTATTTTGAGTAAGAAATAATATTGTTCATTGGGTTTGCCTGTGTCCTTTATAAAGTTTACATCTCTGGTGCCTGGCATTATGTTTTATGGCGCACATGGCCCGGCCCGCCAAAGTGACATTTATGTCAGATTTGGCTCTTGTGACAAATGAACACATGGTCACAAAACATGGGAATCAAGGAATCAACAGGGAGGTTAATAGCTTCAATTAGCTTTGAGAGCCTCCCAAAGAATTTCAGGACAGTATCTTTTGCTTGTTTGGGGATAAGGGGGAAGGAATGGGTTAAGGACTCACCTGGTAGAAGGCAGGTTCTAGAAGCCAATGGTTCCAGAGGAGGTAGGGCTGAACGGGTCTCTTCTGGCTATCAGACAACAGTGGTGTGTGCTCTTCGGGTTCGGGTGCCCAACCGGGCGGGCGGGTCTTCTCTGGGGTGCCGAGATGAAAGAGCAAAGAGAAAATGGCTCCCACGGCCACAACGATCAGAGATAAGTTCTGAGAGGGGGAGAAGACAGAAAAAAGCCCTGCTGAAAGGTAGAGGCCGCACCAGCAATCTCTGGATAGCTCCCTCCTTTAAAGGATACAGCGGGGAGAAGCCAGGTCATTATTTGACAATCCTCCTTCCAGCATTTATGGCTTGATGGAAGGTGATCATGGGCAATTATGGGCTCTTCCGTATTCTCATTTTCATTGCTTGTGTTCCCTATTGCTTTCTTGCATGTGTTTTGCTCCCTCTAGTGGTCGATTCGATATTGCATTGTTGTATGTCTGGCAGATCTCCTCACAGATTTAAACTGCAGGTTTTTATGCCAGACATACAGCGCTGTAATACCAAGTTGAGCACTAGAAGGAGCAAAACACATGCAGAAAAGAAAAAAAACCCTAAACCGGGGGTGGCCAAACTTGCTCATCGTAAGAGCCATACAGAATAAACGTGAGATGCTTGAGAGCAGCAAGACAGGAACAAATATCACACACACATTTTAATTTTTTAAAAAATATGCAAATTTGCTTTTGATTAACATTAAATGAGACTGCCTAAAATAAAAAAACAAAAGGGGTAAAAACAGATATTGATAACGATATTTGTTTGCTAATGATATTGATTTGTCTAAGAGAGAGAGAGAAAGAGAAAGAAATGGAAAGAAAGAATGAAAGGGAGAAAGAAAGAGAAGAAGAAAAAGGAGAAGAAGGAGGAGAAGGAGGAGGAGAAGGAGAAGAAGAGGAGGAGGAGGAGGTTGGATTTATATCCCGCCCTTCACTACCCAAGGGAGTCTCAGAGCGGCTTACAGACTCCTTTCCCTTCTCCTCCCCACAACAGACACCCTGTGAGGTAGGTGGGGCTGAGAGAGCTCTGACAGAGATTGCTCTTTTTCAAGAACAGCTGTGACAGAGCTGTGACAGCTGTGACAGAGCTACGGTCATTCAGCCAGGTGCAAGTGGAGGAGTGGGGAATCAAACCCGGCTCTCCCAGATTAGAGTCCGCGGACTTAACCACGACACCAAACTGGCTCCCAGAGAGAGAGAGAAACAAAGAAAGCAAACAGATGGAGGGAGGGAGGGAGGGAGGGAGGGAGGGAGAAAAAAAAAGAGGCGCACGGAACGCTGTTACCTTCCCACCGAAGTGGTACCTATTTATCCACTTGCAATTTCTTGCTTTCGAACTGCTAGGTTGGCAGGAGCTGGGACCAGAGACAGGAGTTCACTCCGTCATGCGGCACTCGGGTCCCGAACTGCTGAACTACCGACCTTCAGGCCTACAGTTCAGCATCTTAACCACTTGCGCCACCGCAGCCCCAAGGAAGTACCAAGCTTTCGCTGCGATTTGGCTAGTTATAAGACGTGCATCAGGCAGAAAGGGATGTTAAGAGGATGAGAAACGAAAGTGTGAAAGGTCTGTAAGTCCATACCCCTCCTCCCCACCTGCCCTGCCCCGAATTCCCACACACACACACACCCTTCGCTCACCCGAAAGACGGGGATATCTTGGCGGCCGAGGTTCGGAGCCCCCCTGCGGCCCACCTCGAAGTGCAAGAGGAGCCACGCCAGCCCGTACACGGTGATATTTGCCACGACAGTAAAGGCATACCTAAGAGGAGCAAGACATTAGCTAGACGTTACAAAGGGGGGGCCAAGCACTGCCAAAACAGCGCGAAAGCTACAGAGATCCTCTGTACGTACTTCCGGAGTTCTTCAAAACGATTTGCAGAAATCAAGGGGAGGGGGAATCGTTTTATTCATTTCTGTGTGGACTTTTCTTAAGTATAAAAGGAAAAAAATAAAATATATGGAAGTCCTGGATGAAACACTTCCCCCGTGTTTTCAAGGACTCTTTAGGAGAAAATCTGGCCTCAAGGTAGCCTAAATTCCAACCAGAGATGTGCAGAACTTTGCAGCCTGCAAAAATTATTATTTACCTGATGCATTTATACCCCACCTTTCTCCCCAGTGGGGACCCAGAGCGGCTTACACCATTCTCCTCTCCTCCATTTTATCCTCACAACAACCCTGTGAGGTAAGTTAGGCTGAGAGAGTGTGACTGGCCCCAAGGTCACCCAGCGAGCTTCCACAGCACGAGTGGGGATTCGAAGCTGGGCCTCCCAGATCCTAGTCTCTTAACCACTATACCACACTGGATCGCCTATAAAAAGTATACAAATTAAGCGCAGTCGCTCAGTTATGGATAAGAAGAATATTCAGCTTCCGGAGGCAGTTACGGCAAGGGAGATGGACCCCTGAAAAGTTCACCTTAGATTCCGAAGGAACAGCCGGATTCCATCAGATGATTCCCATGTACTCCCAAGGCCTGTGTTCATAACCCATAAGGACTGGAAACATGATTAGAGTCCAGTGGCACCTTAAAGACCCACAGGAATTTCAGGGTATAAGCTTCCAAGAGTCAAAGGTCCCTTTGTCAGATACAAGTGGGAATAAAGAGAGCTTTGACACTCAAAAGCTGACAATCCCAAAATCTTGTCGTTCTCCAAGGAGCTATCAGACACAAATCGAGATGTTCCACTGCAGACCAACATGGTTACCCTCTGAAACAAAAAAGAAGCTGTATAAGATTGAACCTCTCAGGCCTGTCCAGGGGTGAGAGGGTCATCCTGTACTTTTGCAGTTCATTAAACAACAACCCACAGAGGTAGGCGACCCTCTCTGGATTCAGAACAATATGTCACCAGAACCTCTACAATAGTCCCCCTCCCAATCTGAGATTAGAGGTTCAAAATCTCAGCTGGCATCTAGGGCTTAACATATTAGCACCTCATTCCCAGAGATGCACACTTAATGCTCAATGGTAGCTTGTGGTCGGTTAGGCACAGGAAATAGACTTGGAATCCCAGTTACAACATCAAAGACAAGTTGGAAATAATCAGGTCTTTATTCAGTACAGAGTTTAGCAACAAACTACAAAAGATTACAAAAATAAGAAAGCCTAAGGCGACTTGCCTTAACTACACAGTAGAAGAAGCATATTTACCAAGTTCAGGAATCCCTCAGTCCAAATAGTCCAATTAGACACCACGGGATTTGTAGGAGCAATCCCATCTTTGCACACCATGTGCTCAAGTCACAAAGCAGTTCTTTGTTCCGCCTGGGACAGCATTTCCAGGGGCAATAAACAAGCAGAGGGCAGGAACACACACTCCTCCCTCTCATTGGGATCAAACTATTATAGTCCAATTCCAGGCACAATCAGCTGTGGCCATCAGCCAACCGTGAGTGGGCATGGGATGTGCCCAAGATTTGGTTGTCATAGCTGTGTGAGGGGATAGGCTAGAAGTTTGGGGACCACGCCTGCAAGCAATTGACCTACTTTCCAGGTACCTCATGGGCTATGTGACTACTTGTATGTAGGCCAGGAGCCATCAGGTCTGCCTCTTCCACTTAGAGGTGTGAAAGAATGTGTGGTTATACGACATGGTTATAAAGTTTCTCTGGCCAAATGGACAGGCCATTTGGCTTCACAGGAACAAGGCACAGCCTGTTATCAAAAGACAGGTCAGGAGAAGGCATGAGGCTTTTAGAAATCAATATTTCTATACAGAAGCCCAAGATCTTCAGTTCTCTAGCTAGTAACTACCTTCTGGAGGCACCGCAGCCCATGAAATCCTGGGGGAAATTAAATGGCCAAGCAGTTTTAAAAGCCGTCTTTACATTCATTTAGATGGAAAAGCACCTACAGAGTCTGGCTATATGTATCCATCATGAATAAAGGGAAATAAGGCAGTCTTGAGACACTGCTGTACAATAAGACAGTTTTGAGGCATTATTGGCTGAGATGTTCCTGTGGCTATGCCTCTTTGGGAGTTCCCATTTGCAGTCCTGATGAAGGAACCCAAAACTCATTGAATAATCTGGAGGATGAGTTGACTGCAGCCTATTTCGGCATCCCAAAACCCACATACACACAGGCAGAGCAAGGCGAAGCTTGCACGCCAACAATAAGAGACTTATGCCAAGCCTCAACACACACATCACTTTAGCCAGCAATTCTCAAGGTTTAGATCAGCTCAAAACCTTGCACTTCAGAAAAATCATTGTGTCACTCTCTCTCTCTGTGAAGGGGCAAGGGGGCAGGACATTGGACAGCGTAGAACTGTTCGGACAAAGCACCCAAAACTCCCCCCCCCATTATTCCCAGGGGGCCAGTGAAGCTCAGGTTCACTAGGGAACACACACAGACACACACAAACACATAGAGGCCAACCCAGCCCCTGAACAAAACAACCCACAAGCTTAACAGGGTTTACCTGTATTCCAGAAGAAAAACTCTCTACCCTCCCCAGTCCATTTTACCCTTTGTCCACACAGCTGCCAACGCTGATAGCCTGAGGTTAGGCTTGGACGACTTGGCAGGGGTGCAGGGCTCCACTCTTCTTGCTGGCCACATGGGACAATCATCTCTTTTATGTGTTGAACTTTTTGCATTTGAAGCACAAACCGGATTTGGAATCCACAGGTGTCTTGACAGGCGAAGCGGGAGGGGTCTTCCACTCCTCTGCTGTGCGCTGGCTGTGGCTTTGGGAAAGGCTTCTCTGCACTTGGGGGAGTAGATCCTCCAAAGCTCCTCTCCCGATGCTCAGCACGCTTTGCACAAATACCGCTGCCTCCTGTTGACGGCTTCCGGTCCCTCACAGATCTCGACGGCTGGTGCTCACCGAAATCCTTTCCAAGCTGCATTCAGAGAGGCTCTTCCAGCCGGCAAGAGCTGCAGACTTCAGCACTTTTTCCTCCAGGGATCTGCTGGACAGCTCCAAGTGGATTTCAGCACTGATCAGCTCAGAGGCCCTCTGCTGCCAATCTACAGCCAGGGGATTCCAGGAGTTAGCAGATTCACTGTGCTCGTCTGAGGCATTCCAGAACTCGTCCTGGTCCCTCACTTCAGCAATCTTGATGAGAAACACCTCTTCCTCCAGGGAGCAATGGTCACCTTCCTTATCCATGTCCAAAATTCCTAGCTAACACTTATTTATAATAACAAAAACTTCCTCATAGTCTACTGCAAACTCTGCACATAGGGCAACACACCCACGATTTTTGTAACGGAATTCCAGTTCATAGATCCCGACACTAAGGCCACCATGCATAGGAATTTATCCCACACAAGCTGCCACCATGTACAGGATAGCCCACTCACGCCTGTCCAGGGGTGAAAGGTAATCTTGTACTTTTGCAGTTCATTAAACAACAACCCACAGAGGTAGGCTACCCTTCTCTGGATTCAGAACAATATGCCACCAGAACCTCTACAATAGTCCCCCTCCCAATATGAGATTAGAGGTTCAAAATCTCAGCTGGCATCTAGGGCTTAACACATTATTTATTTATTTATTTCCATTTATTCCCGCCCTCCTCGCACGCAGGCTCAGGGCCACCTCATTCCCAGAGATGCACACTTAATGCTCAATGGTAGCTTGTGGTCAATTAGGCAAAGGAAATAGACTTGGAATCCCAGTTACAACATCAAAGACAAGTTGGAAATAATCAGGTCTTTATTCAGTACGGAGTTTATTTATATTTATTATTCACATTTATTATTCACATTTTGTAGTTTAGCAACAAACTACAAAAGATTACAAAAATAAGAAAGCCTAAGGCGACTTGCCTTAACTACACAGTAAAAGAAGCATATTTACCAAGTTTAGGAATCCCTCAGTCCAAATAGTCCAATTAGACACCACGGGATTTGTAGGAGCAATCCCATCTTTGCACACCATGTGCTCAAGTCACAAAGCAGTTCTTTGTTCCGCCTGGGACAGCATTTCCAGGGGCAATAAACAAGCAGAGGGCAGGAACACACACTCCTCCCTCTCATTGGGATCAAACTATTATAGTCCAATTCCAGGCACAATCAGCTGTGGCCATCAGCCAACCGTGAGTGGGCATGGGATGTGCCCAAGATTTGGTTGTCATAGCTGCGTGTGGGGATAGGCTAGAAGTTTGGGGACCACGCCTGCAAGCAATTGACCTACTTTCCAGGTACCTCATGGGCTATGTGACTACTTGTATGTAGGCCAGGAGCCATCAGGTCTGCCTCTTCCACTTAGAGGTGTGAAAGAATGTGTGGTTATATGACATGGTTATAAAGTTTCTCTGGCCAAATGGACAGGCCATTTGGCTTCACAGGAACAAGGCACAGCCTGTTATCAAAAGGCAGATCAGGAGAAGGCATGAGGCTTTTAGAAATCAATATTTCTATACAGAAGCCCAAGATCTTCAGTTCTCTAGCTAGTAACTACCTTCTGGAGGCACCGCAGCCCATGAAATCCTGGGGGAAATTAAATGGCCAAGCAGTTTTAAAAGCCGTCTTTACATTCATTTAGATGGAAAAGCACCTACAGAGTCTGGCTATATGTATCCATCATGAATAAAGGGAAATAAGGCAGTCTTGAGACACTGCTGTACAATAAGACAGTTTTGAGGCATTATTGGCTGAGATGTTCCTGTGGCTATGCCTCTTTGGGAGTTCCCATTTGCAGTCCTGATGAAAGAACCCAAAACTCATTGAATAATCTGAAGGATGAGTTGACTGCAGCCTATTTCTTCTTGTCTGTTTCAAGTCCTAAGGACTGGATCTACTTGTGGATTGCAACGTACTTTATAGGGAGGAATTTCACATTACCCTTTTTAACCCGTTTTGAAGCTGTTTTTGATCCATCGTGGAGTAAACCGGTATAGGGCTGCCATTTCACACTTGGCTTTCCCCTTCCGGTAAAGAGCTGGATCTGAAGCGGTTTGCCATTTCAGACTGCACCGCTTTTTCACGCTTTTTCCCTGCCATTTTTCGCCCGTGCGGGCGAACTTCGGCTTTTTTTTTAACATTCGCTTTAGATCGCTATAGCGCTATAGCACTATAACAAAACACTTCAGGCATTCCAATGGGGTTGATATAATGCTGTTCCATTATAACGTTATAGCGCTATAAAGTGAACATTCCCCCCCCCCCCCAAAAGCCGGAGATCGCCCATGTGGGCGAAAAACGGCGGGAAAAAGCGCATCAGAACTGGGAGAGGAAACTGAAGACTACTTGGAAGCGGTTGACAGGTAAAACGCTTCAGCCCTGTTTCCTAAACGAGACAGAAGCATTTGTGTCTAAAATTACAAATATATTCCGGTAGGGAACCGGTTCTAAAACGGTTCTGTCTGAAATGACAGACCAGAAACTGCTTGGGAACCGTTCCTCTTCCGGAATATATCGTCTGTCTGAAATTCCTCATTGTTTACCTGAAGTTTCAAGAAGTGGATGTATTTGCTTTGCTTTATGGACATTTGAAAATCATGTTTTTCAGTCTATTTAAATTGTGAAATTTTCTTTTGGGAGTTTCAAAGAGTAAATGATAGATATTGCTTCAAATCTTCAGCCTATCTATTCTATTTCTTGTATTTCATGTACTGAATACTATTGAATGTTTAAGAAATATTTGGAGTCTTATGTGATGTTAAGTCATACATGAACCACACCATCTTAAACAGTCAGTTCTGCGGTGTGCCAGGAAATTTTTTTTGGAATTTTTCAGATTCGGGTTCCTCAGACCTGAAAATTATCGGTAAGTACCGAATTTCCCCAGTCCGATACCAGTATAGTATTTGGACTGGGGAAATATTCGGTATTTCCGAATATATTCGGGTCTATTATACCCTTGAGGAGAGAAGGGAGAATGAGAAGGCATGTTTAAATGCCTTCCCTCCCATAGCCACTCTGCCACTTCTTAAATGAAGTTTCACTCCCCACTGGCCAGCTGTTAGGTTTAGGCCATTTAAACCTAACAGCAGACTTGCGGATGGGAGTGAAAGAAACTGACCAGTAGAAGCTTAAAATGCCTTTGGACTACATTGAACCTTTCTGGGTGGGATTCTACTCCCTCTCTTGATCCTTCAGGGAGTAGCCCTAGAAGCTGTCCTGGATTCCACATTACTGTGCCGGACTCAAAAGCGGAAGAGCTGCAAACGGGATGCTGATTAAAAAAAAAAGAAAGAGGCTGCCCTCTCCTGGCAGAAGGTGGATTTGTTCCAAACAGCAACATCGTCCAAAATTATCACCACTCGCCACCAAAACGTGCAACTAGGGGGTAAGTAAGGTCGCCATACAAAGTCGCAAGCCATTCCGTTAAGTAAGAGCCAAGGCTTGAAGATTCAGAATCCATTCAAGTGGGATAATCCCCATTCATTTCTGCAGAATCATCTCAATCACAGCTACAGATTTTGCTCGAATTTATCAGGATATGTTTTAGAAGAAGGGGTTTCATTTGCAGTTAGCCGATGCCTTCCCTCCTCCCTTCACATCTCTATGATGCCTTCCAAGGCGCAGGCATGAGGAGGGAGGGGCAAAGACAAAGGGACTAACACCACTGACATTGAAATGTTGCAGAGCCTTAATGACTCTGTTTTTTATTGGATACTGTAACTATGCAAGCAAGAGGATCCGGGAGGGAAAAGGAGGAGGGGGAAGAGAGTTGGTTTTATACCCCACCCTTCACTACCCAGAGGAGTCTCGGAGCGGCTTACAATCACCTTCCCTTCCTCTCCCCACAACAGACACCCTGTGAGGTAGGTGGGGCCGAGAGAGCTCTGAGAGAGCTGTGACTGACCCAAGGTCACCCAGCTGGCTGCATGTGAAGAAGTGGGGAATCAAACCCTGTTCTCCAGATTAGAGTACGCCACTCTTAACCACAACACCAAGAGAATTCTCTCACTCTCTCGGGCACACTTGGCAGTTGGCCCCAACCCTCTCATCGGTTAGATGTTGAACAATCTTTGGCCCCTGCTTACCTTCTGTGTTTCATCTTATATAGAGCCAGTTTGGTGTCGTGGTTAAGTGCGCGGACTCTTAATCTGGGAGAACCGGGTTTGATTCCCCTACTCCTCCACTTGCACCTGCTGGATGACCTTGGGCAAGCCGTAGTTCTGACAACAGCCGTCCTTGAAAAAAGAGCAGTTTCTGTCAGAGCTCTCTCAGCCCTGCCTACCTCACAGGGTGTCTGTTGAGGGGAGGGGAGGGGAAGGGAAAGGAGTCTGTAAGCTGCTCTGAGACACCTTTGGGTAGTGAAGGGCGGGGTATAAATCCAGTCTGTTCTCTCTCACACAAGGGCTTGGAGCTGTAGCAAAGTTACCTTTTTTAAAGTAAATCTGTTCACAATAAGTTAAATTATTTTTGTAAGTAACATTTCTTTCTCTTGTTACCATTGGAGGCAGATCATCTTTGTAATTTGCTCGAACGGCATTTTCCCCTTAACCGGGAAACGTGGAGAATCGGAGATACTGAGGAAAGGTTCTGTGCTTCCAAGGCAATTGATTCCAAGTTGCTAACCTCCAGGTTGGGCCTGAAGATCTCCCAGAATTACAGCTGGTCTCCAGGTGACAGAAATCAGTTCCCCTGGAGAAAATGGCTGCTTTGGAGGGTGGACTCTGTGGCACTGTGCCCCACTGAGGTCCCTCTCAAGCTCCCCCCCCCCCCATTTCCAGGAATTTCCCAAGTCAGTGTTGGCAACCCAACTACAGTCTATATCAACCTATAAAGCTACTTTAGAGCAAGTCAATCCCAAGGACTTTCCCAGAACTTCTAGGAGAGACCTTTTAAATGGAAGATGCCTGAATTAGAACCCAGATCTTCAGAATGCAATGCTTACGCTCTGCCTCCAGTGGTGGCAAGTAGCCCACCAGGTTCAGCAACAGGACCCCAACTAGGATTGGCAACCTCCAGGGAAGTAATACAAAAACTGAGGGTCACGGTGTTAGGAAGATATGGAAAAATATATGACATATGTGTATAATAGATGCATGTTTAATGGTAGATCTATTTTGCGCTTTTTATTTTTCTTAATTTTTCTATTATATAAATATGGGTGTCACGTATTATCAGACATAGGTTTCACCAGAACAATACATCAAAGTGAGGGTTTACACTATGTTCAAACATTCCAACAGTACCTTGTCAGTTTCACAA